GTGTGCAGTGGGGCTACATAAAGTACCCACGATATTTATGATTATTATTGGTGTGTACAGGCACCCGGAGTAATTGATGAATTTACTGTGTTGATAACGTCTTTCATGAGACTTTAATAAGATCATTTAGTGAGAGAATATATATATATAAGTACGCCAGTGTTTGGAGTTAGGCTATGTGCCCAGTAACTATGTTATTACCATTATGGATGTCTGACTCATCCATATATATATATATGTCTATGCTCGTGTATTGAATAATCATTCATGTGTGCAGTGATTAATTGTGTTATCGCCCACGGAAGGAATTACTGAGAACTCCAGTGATATATACTTGCATACGTTATCATTAAATGAAGGGCAGTATGTTATTCTATGATAGTGAGTTATTGTGTCTATTAATATAGAGATGTTTGATTGAGCTCAAGATCAGTGCAGCGAAGTGATGACGTGCTATTGTCGCAAATATTGTGTGTTCGAACTTCTAGTGATCTTTGAGAACTTAAAGAGACTGGCGCGTCACGCCCCAAGCAAACAGATAAAATAACATTCGAGTGGGGGGTAGTCGCCCAGCTGATTTTGACATTGACGTGAGGGGGAGCGTTGCCGGCTTGGTGAGTTCATATTATATGTGTGGGAACGAGCGACTCCCGCCTGAAACAGCTGTTTGCTTATTGATATAATCTTGTGATGTCTTTGAATGAGTTTTAAGTAAAATACAAAGTACATTTGTGTTTATATCATCCCCTCCATATTTCTTGTGGCTATATAATACCTGACAGCAGATCGTGATAGAAGTAAATACCTGCCTGATATCAGATCTACTGAGTGTGTCCTTGCCACTGTTACCACAATTCAACAAAACCACTGACGTGTTACTGGACACCGGAAACACCAGTTGGCGACCTTGTGGTTAGTAGTAGAGCCCATGACGGGGCGGGCACACAATAGTTGAGTGAACAAGTTGTGTTCCCACTCCTTCTCGATCAGAGGCTGGTTGGGATTGACTGGGATACTCTCCTGGCGTACAGTGGCGCCGCGAGGATAGAGTGAAGACCCGCAGGGCTACGGTGAGTGACCTTGAGTATACTGTTGCTCACCGAGTAAACCCCGACATTGGCGACCTCGCCAGGATTACGATCAAGATAAAGGTTGCAGTTGTGGTACTTTGCAGTGGTATTAGGTATCAGGTACAGGTTATTACTCATAGCACAAGATGGAGGATGATAAAGTAACAAGGTTCATTGACACTAGAGATGAGCAGGTGCTGGAGGAGTGCACCAAGGCACAGTTACAGTCAATAGCAGACCATTTTGGGATAAAGTTGAGATCTTCCAGAGTGGGAGAGAGAAGACTGGAGATAATAGCACAGCTCAGAGTACGAGACGAAGCTTTGGGGGAGGGACGGCCCCAGACACCTGCCAGTATGGGAGAACACCTGAGCATTGGTGGGAGCAGCAGAGGATCCAGCGGCAGATATAGGCGCAGCATCAAGCTGGAGATAATGAAGCTGCAGCTGGAAGCACAGCAGCGCAAAGAAGAGCGAGAGGCACAGCAGCGCAAAGAAGAGCGAGAAGCAGAGGCACAGCAGCGCAAAGAAGAGCGAGAAGCAGAGGCACAGCAGCGCAAAGAAGAGCGAGAAGCAGAGGCACAGCAGCGCAGAGAAGAGCGAGAAGCAGAAGCACAGCTGAGGAGAGAAGAAGCACAGCTAAGACGAGAGGAGCACGAGCGAGAAGCTAGGCTGAGACAGCAGGAGATAGAAGCTAACAAGCAGGTGGAGCTGAAGCGAGCTGAGCTAGGGCTAGGTGCACCTGCTCCGCCGCAACAGGAAGACCGCCGAGTGAGGGAGCGAGATCTGCCGGTCTTTATACCAAATGAAGCTGAAGGTTTCTTCGACCACTTCGAGAAGATCGCTACCTTGAAGAAGTGGCCGAGGGCGGAGTGGGCGGAGCTGGTTCAGGGTAGGCTCACCGGTGAAGCTCGTGAAGCCTACAATATGCTCGACCTCGGAGAGTGCACCGACTACGATGCTGTAAAGAGAGATGTGCTCCATTCTTTCAAGCTCACACCGGAATGTTACAGGAAGAGATTCAGGGAATGTACCCGTTCGGCAGGAAAATCTTATGCGAAGACGGCGAGGGACATGGAGAGGAAGTTCCTTAAGTGGCTGCACTCTGAAGGAGCGAGGTCGGCTGAAGAGGTCAAGAGGCTAATGGTCATGGAGAAGTTTATGTCCGTGCTCTCTCCTGAGATCAGGGTTAGAGTAAAGGAGGCGGACATTAAGGACCTGAGAGCCGCAGCCGACAGAGCCGACATGCTGGAAGAAGCCCTGCGACCATACCGTGAGGGACGGCACCGACCGCCCATACACCGATACGCCCATGTACATACTACACATACTCAGATCACAAACTCATTGAAGTGCAAACGACCATCAATACTCAGAATAGACCTAAAACGTTGATAAAGCGAGAGGGGCTATTCAGTAAATTCAATTTTAATAATAAAAGGATAGACTGGGAGATAATAAACAGGGAACTTACAAACATTCCATGGGGAACTGTTCTAAATAATACAAGTCCTACAGAAGGAATAGAAAAACTGACTTCAGAAGCATATCAAGTCTGTCTGAAACATGTTCCTTTGAGGAAAGCCAGAAAGAGATCTAACGTAGAAAGAGAACGCAGACGACACTATAAACGCAGGAAAAAAATAACGGAACTGCTTATGCAGAGACGAATTTCCCGTCAAAGAAGGAATAATTTAAATAGGGAGATTGAAGAAATCGAGCGGAAATTGAAACACTCATATGAAACTAAAGAAAGGCAGTTAGAACAGAAAGCAATTCAGGAAATAAAGAAAAATCCAAAATATTTCTTCTCATATGCGAAATCAAAAGCAAAAACCACTGCCAGTATTGGACCTATTCGTACAAGTGAAGGTTCATACACGGAGGATGACAAAGAAATTAGTGAAATCCTAAAAAACCAGTATGAGGACATGTTTAGCACTCCAATAAACAACATGAAAGTGGAAGATCCAGACAATTTCTTTATGCGGGATGTTCAAACCCCTGTAAATATAACTGATATAAACACGAGAGCACTAAATTTTGAAAAAGAAATTGAAAACATGCCCATGCACTCGGCCCCAGGTCCAGACTCATGGAATTCAATATTTATAAAGAAATGCAAAGTGCCGGTAGCACAGGCACTCAGTATAGTGTGGAGGAAGAGCTTGGACACGGGGGAGATACCAGATGCACTTAAAGTAGCAGACATAGCCCCTCTACACAAGGGAGGGAGCAAAGCATTGGCAAAAAATTATAGACCAGTTGCACTAACATCGCACATCATAAAAGTATTTGAGAGAGTGATTAGGAGTCAGGTCACCAATTTCATGTAGACCAATGACCTTCACAACCCAGGCCAACATGGATTTCGAGTGGGAAGATCGTGCCTCTCACAGCTACTTGAGCACTACGACAAAGTCACTGAGGCATTAGAAGAAAAACAGAATGCTGATGTGATATACACGGACTTCGCAAAGGCTTTCGATAAATGTGACCATGGCGTGATAGCACACAAAATGAAGTCAATGGGAATAACCGGTAAAGTAGGACGCTGGATACTTAGTTTTCTGTCAAACAGGACTCAGCGAGTAACTGTCAACCATATAAAATCTAGTCCAAGTGCAGTGAAAAGCTTTGTACCTCAGGGTACAGTCCTCGCACCGCTGCTTTTCCTTATTCTCATATCAGATATAGACAAAAATACAAGTCACAGCTTCGTATCATCCTTTGCAGATGACACAAAAATCAGTATGAAAATTACCTCGGCTGAGGACATTGAAAAACTTCAAGCTGATATTAATAAAGTTTTCGACTGGGCATCAGAAAATAACATGATGTTTAACAGTGATAAATTTCAGGTACTCAGGTACGGTAAAAATGGGGACCTTAAGCATAATACAGAGTACAAAACACAATCAAATGTACCCATAGTAGGAAAACAGCATGTAAAGTATTTGGGAATAATAATGTCTGACGACCTAACGTTTAAGGAGCATAACCAAGCAAATATTGCGACAGCCAGAAAAATGATAGGATGGATTACGAGAACTTTCAAATCCAGGGATCCCATCACAATGGATGTACTCTTCAAGTCACTTGTGTTGTTCAATCTTGAGTACTGCTCAGTACTCACTTCCCCCTTCAGAGCAGGAGAGATTGCTGAAATAGAGGGAATACAGAGAACATATACGGCACGCATAGACGCAATAAAGCACCTAAATTATTGGCATCGTCTCAAAGCCCTCCAAATGTACTCACTAGAAAGAAGACGAGAGAGATATCAAATAATATACACCTGGAAGATACTGGAGGGCCAAGTACCAAATCTACACAGTAAAATAACAACGTACTGGAGTGAACGATATGGAAGAAAATGTAGAATAGAACCAGTGAAGAGCAGAGGTGCCATAGGCACAATCAGAGAACACTGTATAAACATGAGAGGTCCGCGATTGTTCAACGTCCTCCCAGCAAGCATAAGAAATATTGCCGGAACAACCGTGGACATTTTCAAGAGGAAACTAGATTTATTCCTCCAAGGAGTGCCGGACCAACCGGGCTGTGGTGGGTATGTGGGCCTGCGGGCCGCTCCAAGCAACAGCCTGGTGGACCAAACTCTCACAAGTCGAGCCTGGCCTCGGGCCGGGCTTGGGGAGTAGAAGAACTCCCAGAACCCCATCAACCAGGTATCAACCAGGTAACCTCTGCCTCAGCTTCCACCTCAGTTACTGTGCCGGAAATCACTGTAAACGCTGCCGCACTTGTTGACCTACTGTCTGCCACTGTTCCACCCACTACTCCAGTTGCTGCTGACCCTACACCAGACCCGGTAGAGGCTATTAGTCTCTTCACACAAGACAACGACCCTCCAGCTCCTGTTTATGCGTCTTACAATTGCCCCAGAGACCTGAAATTTAATATTTCTCAGAAACGTGTCGCAGCTCGGGAGTGGAACATCGACTACGAAAACGGACTGAACGATGACGGAACCCGCAGAGAGTTTTGGTACGTTGATGCTGACACAGTTCGTTACTGCAATGATGTTACCATGCTCCACCCTGCCATTATTGACCCTCAATACTACGTGAAATATCCGAAACACGCCGCTATGATAAAGAAAGAAATTCAAGAACGAACGGGCAATGAACTTTCAACCCAGCAGAGTCACCCAGTACCTCTTCATACCAAACCTTCAGGGACCACTGTACTAGTCCCCGACCCTTCAAACCCATTGTCGGATGATGCTCCAGCTCCTGGTCCGGCCTCGGACATTACTGTGAACGATACTGAACCTATTGCAGCTGCAACATCTGCTCCTGGCATGGTAGCAACCCAGAAGCCGACGACTTCTCATCCACCATCTCCTGTTACATCTCCACCCACAGTACATACATTAACTGAACCTTCTACATCTGCAATAAGTCCTACTGCTGCTACTAAATCATCAGGAACATTACTTCCAAGACCCACATCTCCTGGTATGTACTCATCTGACTCATCAGATGAGGACGTCTCTGTGGGAACGACATCTCCACCTTCACAGAAATACAACTATTCATCGGCCGATTTTCTTTATGACTCTATTGATATCACAGCAATGTCAACGCGAAGTCGGACCGCCAAGAAAGACAAGCCGAAAACAAAGACCAAAGATCAGAGCTTGCTCCCACCATCAAGAAAGAAGTAAACCAATGAAGTAATCAACCTTCAACTACCATCAACTGCCAGCTGCTTGCGTTCCTGGCCCCTGTGTGGACTGCAAATGACGCCTACTCAATTCTGCTTCCATCTACTCAAGTTCTAATCCGCGGTGGTTGGGCCACCGATCTTTCATCTCCCCTCTTCACCTCATCTCCAGATCCTTGCTCAAGATTTCTGCAACCTCGCCCCGTTCTTCCATCCCCTGCTTGCCAACTCTATGGACATTTTCATTTCATTTCAACGGGCTGAGGACCCCTCCTTGTGGAGTTCCCAGTTCAAAGTGTTTGCTCTCTGTGCTTTTAACACCATTAAACAAAACATATGCTGTTCGATTAGACAAATAACCCTTTATCCATTTCAGTAATTTTCCTTGTATTCCCAGCTCGGCAAGCTGTTCCAGTATGATTTCTCTGTTTGCTGTATCATAAGCTGCTGCTAGGTCGATGAAGACTGTTTGAGGGGAAGCTTCAATATGTGCGAAGTACTCAGCAAAACAGTGTTGTGTACTGAGCCCAGCCATAAATCCAAACAGTTGAGGTGACAGGTGCCCCTGTATACGATACATGAGTCGGTTAAGAACAATACGTTCAAACACTTTACAAACACACGATGTTAGAGATATGGGTCTATAATTATCTGAGTGTGGTTTGGGGATGGAAACAATGACACTCTTTGTCCAAGCATCAGGTAATACTCCTTCACGTAAACTCATTCTGTACAACACTAATAGTGGATTACCTGGTACGTGTGAGACTAATCTCAGTAGACTGTAAGTAATACCGTCCTCTCCAGGAGCAGTTGATTTTCCCATCTTTAGTGCATGATTTAATTCCCATTCAGTTACATCATTAAGGTCCGACACGTCGATAGCTGTACAGGCAAGAGTGATGGTTCGTTGTCTGTTGGGGCGTGTGTCATCAAGTTTGTGCTGTATGTTAATTGGGAGTGAATCGTAGCTTGATGTTAGTGCCCATTGATCAAGGAGGATGTTTGCTTGTTCTAGTGGGCTGTGGTGCACCGGTTTGGTTGGGCTGCTTCTAGAGATTTTTCGTATCTTTTTCCAAACTTCAACAAGTGTTGTTTGCTCATTTATACTTTGTAGGAACTCTTCCCAATGTTTATTACGTATAACGTTGGTCATGTCTCTCACCTCTCTGTTTGCAACTAGAAATGCATGCAAGTCACCTTGTGCTTTGGTTCGTTTGTACGTATCTCCAAGTTGCTTTACTCGTTCATGTTCTTTAACAAATACGGGGTCAAGGACCCACTTGGGTGGTGGTAGGTGTTGCCCACTTCTGCTAGGCTTACGACCTGTTCCCCAACACACCCATGTGTCATAGTAGGTAGTAATCGTATCAACGAGATCTATGGAGAAGGCTTGTACATTCGTTATTGTGTAATCTTGATACCATTTTGATATGCAATTAATAAAGTGGTCATGCAAGCCATATGGAATATTCGTTTTCCGTCTCTGATGACTATTAGGTACATCACACTGTACCTCATAGGAAGCAGAAACTGCATAGTGATCACTAACTAAGTGATTTACCAACGAACATTCCATCCTATCTTGCCCAAGGTTTCTACCCATTACATAATCAAGTCTGCCTCCCAATAAATGAGTTTGGGTATCCGTAGTATACACGGTTAATCTGTTGTCATAAACATATTTGATAATTTTGCATCCATTATCGTTGTTAGTACTGTCTCCCAGCGTAATATGTCTAGCATTAAAATCTCCCATGTATATTGTCCCATGATTGTCTAGATCTGGGAACAATGTTACATTGAGTTTCTGGCTTCTGGCATATACGTTGAGGAATGAAAAGTGGCCTGCTGTAGTTTGTACATGAAAGTGATGGTACTGTGTGTGTACATTGTGTGACGTGCTCACAAGAATGTGCGGTAAATCACTTCTGACGTATGTTAATAGGCCTGTGGCGTTACTGTTATTATAGGATGCATACCCTCTGATCTTTGGTGGGGTTTTGTTTATCATATTGGACGTGTAGGGCTCCTGTAAAGCAATTATATCTATGTTGTTACTGGTAACATATGCAATTAGGTCATTCAGTCTTTTGTTGATGCTACGAATGTTCCAACTGAGAAACCTAATGTGGGATATTTGGGTTTGATTCTGATTAATTAATAATTAAAGTAGTAAATTAAATTACGAAGGACCACCCGCTTTTAAAGGAAAGAGGGAAACTGAGAATTTCAGATCATTAGATAAATTTCTAGAGAAAACCAGTGACTATGGATATGACTAGAAAGTATGATCATAAGAATAATTAATGGGCTGTATTATTAAAAAACCAAACCTCAAACACCTACATTGGGGGGTTATTACTGGAGGTCAGTACGTCCAGGAATCAGTGTGGTTCGTTCACTAATTCAATTAATAATAATCTAATCCTATAAATAATGTTGAATATAATATTATTCATACAAAGAAGAAAATGAATATGAGCATAGTAATGAGTTACAGTAAATCACACATTATGTTGAACATTCTGAATGTATCAAATTGCTAAAATATAGGAAAAAGAAATAAGCCTTAGCTTGTAGTAGGTTCCTTTAGATAACTCTGGAAGTCCTCTTAATCTCCAAGTCTGGCACATTGACGAATGGCACGATTAACATGGAGAAGGCAGCATGAGGAATCCGTCTCTCAAGCTGCAAGATAAATAACTACCAGTAGCAATTGATTTAACTACTCAATTCATATTCAAGAGTATTGATATCTACAGATAGAATTCTAATCACCTGTTATTAGGTGTTGTCTTGCCGCGTGACGTGCAATCACCCCGCTATTAATAAACTTATAAATGATGCATCAAATAAAAAGTACTTAGCTGTGGGCACTGTGTAAGTATTAAGATTGCCGTAATTACGCATCCCAAGTTCCGGTGAACCTATCCTGGATTGATGCGTTTCAAGCTGGCTGATCACGTGTCGTCAGGAACCAAGTCTAAGATCCCTCTTTAACACCAGCACTAGTTGAAGATATTATCTGCAAGGTCGTTCACGCCTCACAGTGGCGGCTTTCCTCTGTGGATGGACACACTTGTCCTATTTGCTGGACAATGGCGTCTTAAGTGAGTACGTTAAGCGCAGGTCTGCCTCTCTTCGGTTCCCCACGTGTACGCTTCCCGACGTGTACTGAGGGTGGCGTCCCTCAACCCGAGTCGACGTTCATTACACAAATTATTGGCATGAACATTAATATTTCTCGCATTCGCGCTTGAAACTCTAAAGACTGGACGGGTTTATTATTTAGAGGAACGAAATATTATTATTTAACTATTTAAGAATAGTAAATATATAAGGGAGAAGAATTAATGTCTCCCCATAGCATTCATTGATGACGTTAACTCTATCGCGAGGTAGACGGTATAATTCTAACGCTCTATTCGGCTTTTAGTTATAGAACAATTCGTCTGCAATCAGTTGTCATACAGAATGCTTTAATTATGGAGAATCGTATTTAATTCTCACACAAATTGAATATAATGTGTTTTACTGTAAAGAAATCTGACGCAATACTGGCGTCAGGTGACGTGAGAATTCTAGCCTAATGCACAGATGAATTATTAGTACAGGAGAATTCTACGAGTTGTTAATTTTACCTACTACAATATTAAGTATGGTTAGTAATAAGTAATGAGAATACAACAATGCTGTATTCGATGTTGGAAATATCCAACATAACTCCGGGGGGGGATTCCCAGGGTCGCAGTGTACTGTGTTGTACTGACCTATCCCGAAGTGATATTAAGATTAATACATTAGTATGTTAGTACACACATAACGAACGTCCCGGATTTATCAAGGACTTACAAGAACTTGAGTCTTGCTATTTACATGTCAACTGAAACATGTTGTTTGTAGCCTACACAATATTTATAAAATTTAACTCTCCCAATTTAAACTAACAGAATCTACGGTGATGCGATATCTTGGGTCATAGTGACGTGTAATGTTTCGTTACGTGATATCACATCGTAGCATCATCAAAGTTATCTAAGTGAGAGGTGAAGGAAATTACTCTTGTTCAGAGTTGTAATAGGCTTGCAGTTTCCCTTAGTGGAAACATGCATGAAATAATGAAACATTAAATGATTAAGTTATCGGTAATCAGGAACACTCTAAAGCTCACAATAAACTCAACAACTAAGGTCGCAGTGACATGTAATGGTGTTTTACGTAGCTGCTGAATCGTAGGTAAACTCAGAATAAGTTCCTAAGAACTGATAACACTATTGTATGATTATACAGTAAAGTGTTATTAGTCATTCAAAATCAAGGAAACTATGACACTACAGTAAGGTCACTGTCTAGGGCCGCTGTGACTTGTAACTATTGAGTTACTAGACAATAACATCACGCAGCATCACGATCACCTCAAATTCAAATGAGGAAATTGAATTAAATGTGCACTGCCGTGCAGTAGTCATGTTGACTGATGGTACAACTAATTTGCTAACTAGCTAAAATAATAGAAAATAGAGAACTGAAAAGTTTATTCATTAAAATCAAGGAAAATTCTGAGTCGACAGTGAAATTAGTAGCCTAGTCATTCTGACTTATGAGCTAATTAAATGGCAGCTCATAGGCTTGACACTGTAAACTAGTTAATACGAAATCACCTTTACATGAAATTGAGTTTATTAGATCAGTTCCTATAAGTATAGTCAACTGTAATTAATGGTGAGTACAGATTAGGCTAGTACTCAGTTGACACTACTAAAGTCCCTAAGCCTACCTAAATAAATGGTTTGAATTTCTAACCTACCTAAGTAAGGGACTAAGCTAATTGTGAGCAAATGTACTCGAATTAACATTGTGAGCAGTATTAAGCTCATTAACAGGTCGAGTCATATTGAACTCGTGAACATGGTGAGCTGTATTGAGCTCGTCAGCAGTGCTGACAGGGTGAGTTACAGTGAACTCGTCAACAGTGTTGACAGGGTGAGCTACATTGAG